GTTTCTAGGATAACTTTTAACTAATGTATTTTTCTGTATTCGAAGAGTCTCCAAAAAATTGTTATTTATTGCCTACACTTACTAAATATTCCATACTTCAATATATACTCCAAGGAGCTGATAAGCAAGCCGCCTGTCTTTTCTATTTGCTCTTATTTTCTAAGACGTTTCCTAGAGCGTTGTTAAGAAGTAAAATCAGTCTTATTGTTATGACCAGTATCATGTTATTGTAGAAATTTTTGTTAATATGTTATCTCAAATACCAGTCTTTTTCAATCTTCTGCTGAGAAATCTTGATTCGCAAAGATTGTTTTTTGTTATTAAACACAAAGCTACACCGCGAGTATCGAAACCCGGTTTTTAGCGGTGGGAGTTTTTAGACATACTGCTGAGCCACTGGAGGCTCTTCACAAAATATCTTAATAATTGTTTCCCTTGACGCTGAGAATTTTAACAAGAATTTTCACTTTATGATTAAATACCTTCTTCTTCTCTTTAGTTTGGTAATTTTTCGAATTCTAAAAAAATTCTTTTAAAGTTGCAACTTTGCAGATTTTTTTCTGGCTTTGGCTACTGCAGTTGGAGTCAAGAAAGTTCCTCCCCCATCTTCAAATTTCGTAACGAAATTTATAAGATTTCTTAAGTAATATTATTTCGTCGTCCAAGTAATATTGAGTTATTATTTGAAACTTAAAGCGCTTAGAGGAACATTCTTATTTTTCATTATTCGTAAGGGTCAAAATCTGGGAGAAACTGTTGAAACAGAATATATCATCAAACCTTTTAATAAACTCCGACATTCGCCATATGGTTCAGTGTGAATTACATTTTCTGTCAGTAGTAGTATCTTTTAAGAATAAAGGCAAAATGAAATGTTAAACTGACGGACGATTTCCAGAGAGTTTTTCACGAAGGTGAAATGTCATCATTAAAAAAAAAAGTTTGACATTTGTACGGCAGTTTCTTCTAGAATCCTTGTTAAAAGTTCTTTCAGTTACTCATAACTTTGGTTTCTAAATGACTTGCATGATTTTTTTTATCGTGGTTATGTCTTTGTAATATGTGTTCCATATAAATGGTCAACAATATATATATATATATATATATATATATATATATTAGTTAGGTTGTATGTTGTTTTACTT